CGAAATTACTCGTTTTTACGCTTCGGAAGATTTCCCGGGAAAACATTAGTGCCGGGGACTGATTAATGTAAACTATAACTGATTCTGGTAACTTTAAAGTGCCTATAAACCCAAAAATTATTTTTGGCTCATATAAATCTTTGTATATTTCCGAGTAAAATGGCGAAAAAATTTTTGTTTTTGGTCAAAACCGCAATTTTTTATGAATTTTTGAAGTCCGGGNCAATGACAAAAAAACAATCGCTTGAGCTTAAAACGTGTTTGCGCCAAAATAATAATTTAATATTCTTGAAACAATAGTTAACTAAGAAAAAAGAACCAGGAAGTGTAAAGCCTGGTTAACACTAGCAAGTGTTTCAGTCGAAACCTCTTTTGTGTCGTATCTGACTGATTGTTTATTTCAAGTTCATGCATATAAAGTTATTAGCTTTTAAAGCCGCAAAATTTTATCGTGCTAGAATTCGAAGCCTTCTATCTTCCCTTCTAAAGAAATTGACGACCGTAAAATACACCTAGTTTACCTCTCTGCCATGTTAACTCATGAAATTCTCAGTCTTTCCGCGCTGAATTCTTGGACACGAAATTACTCGTTTTTACGCTTCGGAAGATTTCCCGGGCAAACATTAGTGGGACTGATTAATGTAAACTATAACTGTTTCTGGTAACTTTAATCCACGGGCTATCGTCAGCAGTGCACGCCGAAAAAAACAATGCGTTGCAATTCTATTACAGACAGAATAATTAATTGGTTTCGATTAAATAATACTTCCAATGCACGAGAAGTTTGCGCCACACGATTTGAATAAAGTGAGATTATTGAGGAACAAACAGGATATTATAAGGGACTTTTCATAAACATTTCGCGTATTGCCTGTATTAGTCATCGCACTTCGTGCAAATTTTTTTTTTTTTGACATAAATACTTACTTGATGGTATCCTGTCTGTCGTGACCTTAATATGGAATCTTTGGATACATGAAAAAAAAAACTCACACAAACAGAGACAAAACAAATCCATTTTGAAAATCAAGTTTTCCCACAAAAGGGACCCTTAATCAATACGAACTCAAGTCAGGTTCAAGAGTAATCGGTGCGAGCCATCACACGCCCGGTAACCGTTCATACTATAAAAATCACGTCAATACTTTTCTTCATCTTTTTACAAATAATTATTTATTATAATTTGGAAAAAAAAAGCTAAAAAAAAAAACTTTCGAAGCAGTTTCTACAATGTTACTGTAACCCAAGTAGACCTTTATCGAAAACAAACGGGAACCATCCAGCCATATAAATTCTATAACCGTTTTCTATCCCTTTTATAAGTATTGATAAGTACTTAAAGTTACCTGTCTTCATAGGTTTACGCCGGTACGGTAAGACGGTTTTCAACCGACCTGAGCGCGAATAGTTTGTTTAGTGTTTCTTTATCAATGCCACGCTAAACCAAAACTCCAACATCTGTGCGCTCTGCCTTTGCTAACGAACTACTCGCGTGATCAGGAACACATTCTCCACTCAGATTGCGTAGGTCTATGCCGGTTACCCTCGCACCTGAGTTACTCCTTTTACCATGTATTGGGCAACGTAGAAAACGACATTTGATAATCAGCAAAACTGTCACGGTAACTAGTAGTGCCGCAGGAACCATGGAATAAATATAGATTAAAAGTTTCTTCCGGGGGCCTATAAACAAACAAAAAAGTCCAGTTAAAATAAGAAGGTTGATCCGCATATACAAAACTGAAACATATTCAGGAAAAAATTTCTCGAACAAATACTTTCTCTCCATTAAATATTACTCACGTAAAGATTGAAGGGGTCAAAGTAAAAGAGAACATTGTTTTTGTGAACGTAAATCTGGAGACAAAATCTTTAATCATGTCATTCAAATAACATTACTGATGTTTTACGTTTTGATCCAGAGTTATTTTCAGCACTGAGAAAATTTCTATGGGCCATCTGCAGAGATGCAGTTTCTTTCTATCGCCTTTCAGACACCATGGAAAGACAACCACAACCACAGGCAAAATCTAGTCAGATATTAAGGGAAATCAGATTTGCGATAAAGTAAGTTAATTTCTTATGTTTCATTCATTTTATCAGTAGGTAATTAGATAATTGATAGTTAATTAGATACACGACCCCTCAAGCACGTAGTGCTTAAACGATTATGCTGTTTTAAATAAAGGATTTTACTTCACTTGACTTAAGTTTACTATATGCCAACTATGTCCACTATTTTTCTGTAGGCATGCGAGCTACGCATGCTGTTCTGCGGCATTTTGTAATAAAAGTTGCAGCATTTTGTAATTACCTGCAGTATTTTGTATTAGAAGAAAACGACGTATTTTGTAATGAGAGTTGCAGCATTTTGTAATAAACATTGGTCTACGCAATTTGTAATAACGTTGGTGACGCAAATTGTAAGAAGTCTCTTCACACGATAATTTCACGAAGCATACAGATTGGCTGGATTCCCTTCAACACCAACCTGATGGAAAATCGGTTATTATATTATGGTAGGATTTTTTAAAACTGAATATGAGTACAGTATCTGCATGGGTATT